AGCACTTATTCGCTCGCAGATTTTCATACGGAATCAAGCAGTGATGTAAGCTCTAGCGGCATAATCTCCAGTGACACCAGCATTCATCCATTTAAGTTTTCTTCCAAGGAGTCGAGCGGTGCTGCAAGCACTATGATCACATCAGAATTAGATTCTACCACCCCTCAGGACAAAATACCTTTTGCAGACTCAAGCAGGGTTGTAACTCCTACCAGCACAGCAGCAACTGATCCTAGCAATGCTCCACACGGGTATTCCACAATGGAGTCGAACAATATTGCAAGTACTAGGAGTACATCACCCACTGATTCCAACAATCCCCTACGCAGTTCCTCAGCAGAGTCGAGCACTATCACACACATCATGAGCACGTCAGCCGCCGATTCCAGCCTTCAATCGCAAAAGTATTCCGCTAAGGAGTTTGGCAGTATTGCAAGCACTAAAAGCACAACAGCCATGGATCCCAGCACTCCTGCACACAAGTTTTCCTCAACAGAGTCAAGCACTTTCAAGGGCACCACGAGCACAGCAGCCACTATTTCCGGTACACTTTTGCTGAGGCTTTTTGTAACGAAGTCGAGCAGTGTCGTGAGTACTAGGAGCACATCAGTTACTGATTCGACCACTCCTCCGCGCAAGCATCCAGCCATGGAGTCAAGCACTGGTGCAAGCACTATGAGCACAGCAACTGATATCAACATTGAGCAAAAATTATCTCATGCGGAGTCTAACAGTGTTGTAAGCACAACGAGCGCAGGAGCCATTGACTTTAGTAATGCTCCACAGAGGCATGACACAACGGTGTCTAACAGTATTGCAAGTGCTAGGAGCACAGCAACCACAAGCACTGATTTCATTGATGCTTCCAGCCTTTATTCCGCAAAGGAGTTAAGCAGCGTTACAAAAAGCTCAACAGCAGTTGCCATCACATCTTTTCAGAAGTACTCCGCTACAGAGGCAAGCAGTAGCACTACGAGCATAACCGCCACTGACTTCAGCGCTCACTCGGTTGAGGATTCTGAGACGGAGTCAGGCCGTGTTGCAAGCACTGTAGTCGCATCAAAAATTGATTCCACCACCCCTCAGCACAGCTTACCCAGTGCTAAGTCAAGCAGTGTTGGAGGCACTAAGAACACAGAATCCACTGAGACCATCACTTTTTCGCCCTTCAAACACAATGTTGCACAGAATCATCCTAGAACGGAGTCCAGCAGTGTCACGAACACCATGAGCTCAACCGCCGCCGCCGTAACATCTTCACGCAAGTATCTCGCTACGGAATCGATCGGTTCTGCAAGCACTACGAGCAGAGCAGCCACTGATCCCAGCAGTCGTCTACATAGGTTTTATACGGAAATGAGCGGTGTTGGAAGCACTATAAGCAGTGCAGCTATTGATTCCAGCACTCATCCGTTTACGTATTCCGATGCGGAGTCAAGCAGTACTATAAGCTTTAGAGGCACGATCGTCAGTGACAGCAGCACTCATCCACTCAAGTATTCTGCTATGGATTCTAGCTCCACAATGGAGTCTTACAGTATCGTAAGCGCTAGAAGTACAGCAGCCACTGATATCCAAAATCCTCCACACAAACCCAAGTCAAGCAATGTCACAAACACTATGAGCACATCAGTCGCTGATTCCAGCACTCCTGCGCAATTTTCTAAAACAGAGTCAAACACCGTTACAAGCTTGAGCTCAGCAGCCATTAATTCCACCACTCGTTCGATTAAGAATACCGCTAAAGAGTCTAGCAGTGTTGCGAGCACTAGGAGCACAGCAAACACTGAATCCATCAATGTTCCACTCAATCATTCCACAACGGACTCAAGCAATGTCACAAACATTATGAGCTCAGTTGTTGCCAGCACATCTCCGCAAAATCATTCCGCTATAGAGAGAAATATTAGCACTACGAGTACAAGCACTGACTCCAGCTCTCATTTACTCAAGTATTCTGCTACGGAGTCTCACCATGTTTTAACCATTGCGAGCACGACCGCGAGGGAAAACACTTCTCCACACACTGATGATGCGACACAGCTTAATAGTGGTGCAGGCACTACGAGAACACTAGCCACAGATCGCAATACTCCTTCGCGCAAGCATTTTGCTGTGGACTCAGGCACTGCAAGATTGAAGAGCACAACTGCCACTGATTTGAACACTCATTTACGTAAGCCTTCTGCTACGGACCCAAGCAGTATTGTGACCACTGTGAGCAGAGCAGCCACGAGTCCTGCATATAAGTATTCCTCATCCGAGTCACGCGGTGTCACAAACACTATGGATACCACAGCCGCTGACTCCACCGTTCATTCGTTTAAACACTCTGTTACGGAGTCGAGCAGTGTTGCAACCAATACAAGCACTGCATCCATTAATAATTCGACTCCTTCTGCGAATTCCACAGCAGTCACCGATTACAACACTGTGCAAACCGTTACGGAGTCGAGCAGTGTTGCAACCAATACAAGCACTGCATCCATTGATAATTCGACTCCTTTTGCGAAGTCCACAGCAGTCACCGATTACAACAATGTGCAAACCGTTACGGAATCGAGCAGTGTTGCAACCAATACAAGCAGTGCATCCAGTAATAGTTCCACTCCGTCTGCGAAGTCCACAGCAGTCGCCGATTCCAACACTGAAACCGTCACGGAGTCGAGCAGTGTTGCAACCAATACAAGCACTGCATCCATTAATAGTTCCACTCCGTCTGCGAAGTCCACAGCAGTCACCGATTACAACATTCTGCAAACCGTTACGAAGCCGAGCAGTATTGCGAGCTCTATGAGCACAATCGCTACTGATTTCAGCACTCCTTCGCCCAAGTACTCCGCTGAAGAGCCACGCACTGATGCGAGCATTACGAGCACAGTCTCCACTGATTTAGACTCTCATTCACTTATTTGGCGTGCCGCTACTGAATCGAGCATTGTTGTAACCACTGCGAGTACAGCAACAACGAGTCCTGACATTTCTTCTCGCAAGTATTCTGCTACAGAGACGATCAGTTTTGCAGGAACTACGGGCACAGCGCCCACAGATCCCAACTTTTTTGCACAAAAGTATATTACAACAGAGTCAAGCAGTCTCACAAGCACTATGAGCACAACAGCAGCTGCCATCGCATCTCCACGCAAATTTACCGTGAGTGAGTCAAGCGGTGAAGTAAGTCCTGTAAGCACAGCTGCCACTAATGCCGCCAATCCTTCATACAGTTATTTCGCGACAGGACCTAGCAGTGTTGTAACCATTGCGAGCACAGCTGCCACGAGTCGTACCACTCCTCCTCACATGTATTTTGCTAAGGAGACGAGCAGTTCTGCAAACACTGCGGGTACAACAGAATTCACTGCTTCGATTAGTCATTCTCCTGGTGAGACTAGCCTTGTAACCACTACGAACAATGCAGCCATTGATACTGCAGCTTTTCCACAAAGTTATCTCGCACTGGAGTCAAAGAATGCTGAAACCACAATGAGCACAACAGCCACCCCTACCACTCCGCTTGGGAATGCTGCTGCGGATTCTAGCGGTGTAAAAGTAGGGGCATAATAGCCACAAACTTCACCACTCCCAACACCCCTGCAAAGTTCCATCCAAGCTAAGTGGAGTTCACAACAACTTCTCAATAGAAAAACTACAAAAATTTCCAAGTTCCATTGAGTAGTCTAAAAACCTGAGATTGAAGGATTGAGCAACCTAACAAACCTGTGCGGTATGACAAGATTGAAAATACCAGTTTACAAAAGTTTTTCCTAATTGTGAAGAACCTCCACATCATTGGGTAAGAGCGAAAAGCTCATTACCACCGCTTTGCCTCCGCATTTTGTTTCAGACAGATTTCGCTCGCATTTGCGAGCGTGTTACCTCGAAACGATCGAAGAATTGCGCAGTTCGTCATTCATTTTCAACAAGTAACGCTAGTGCGTGTGGCAGAGTTTAGGCCGCACATTCTTAATCGGGTCACCACCTATTCGTTACCCGTGCTTTCCAAGCAGAGCATTCGCGCATATGCTAACGCGCTTCCTTTTTGGATCAGCGAAACGCCAGCTTCAGAAATTTCGAACGCGTATCTGAGAAACTTCACGATTGATAATAGGTGCACTTGACTTACTTAATATCTGTAAACCTTAGTTACAATGCTGTTATTTATTTGCAAAGTTCGTTTCGCACACTTCATCTATTGTTGTAAATTACAGCAGCCAACTGTAGCATTTTTTCTTATTCTTTTCCTCAAGAAGATGTTTCGAATCGAAATGTATCTACCTATAAGCTATCACATTAATGGCAACGGCAATGCGACATTAATAAGAGCTTATACAAAATTGTTTGTATTGGTAGCCTTCAAGGGTTATACAGCACCAAAGGAAACATAGTAATTCAATAAACAGAGTTTGCGAGTAATTAGACGTCATTTAGAACGGCGATCGTGCCGTAAATCACAATGATATAGCTGCTGATTCTCTTGACAACTTTCAGAAAGGTCACAACAATTAGAACTGCAAAAGTTGCAACCCTTAGTAAATGCGTTACGTGACTGCCTCAACTCTGCATATTTGGAGTGAACGTAAATTTAGGACATTATTTTTAATCAGAACGAAATTAAAAGGTTCAAGAAGTTAACAAACGTCTGAAAAGTGAGGTAGAAGCGTAAAAGCAGCTGAAATCTATTTTTCAATTAGCTCAACACTTTCTTTATCCTTTTCCATATCAACTTCATCCTACTTCATAATAGACTACTATAATAAACCATGCTACAACGATATATACTCACATTACATTCCATTCCAGGCTGGTTCAACTTAGCTTCCCTCTTTTTTTCTTTCCTTCTTCTACCCTTGCGATCTTCCTTTACTGCTGGTGAGTTCCGGAGGACCGCATTTCTACCTAGTTTTTCGGATAGTCATAGGAACGAAACGAGAGTTAGGTTATCGCTTCCTTCTTCCTTCATTTGTTAATAAAAGCGGCATGGTATTGAATTGGAATTTGATATGCCATTCCCATACACGCGTTTCGGTATGCATCTCATTTCGGATGGCCACCTCGGTGCCGACAAACAGGTAATGTGAAGATGATGTTGCTATTCTCTAGGATATGCTTACAAGGGATGGTCATGCGGATGCATGCATTAACATCCCGCCGGAAAGGGGGCAGCTCAAAAGATTGCTTCATATCTTGAAACTCCGAACTTCTGGATTTCCCACTAACACCCCATCCGAAAGTATTCCTACCATCCTTAAGGGCCGTCTTAGAGTGAAGGACATCAGAGATACTTGGCTTTATGCACTGAAGTTGATCGAAATGTAAACAACTTGCTATGCTCATGACTTGGCTGTGCTCATGACGGTTTGATGTTAAAGGCACAAGGATCTAGGGAACTACTCAGCTGAAAATTGAACTTTGCGAATTGACAAGGTGTGCTCTTGATGAATGCATAGCTGATAGATCCTCTTCTACTATAGATGTTGGGGACACCATTATTGTTTTTGCTTTTTTTTTTCTGCCCTGGCACTGTATGTCGAGAAATGAAACAGTTTAAAGTCTTGTTGTCGAATTGTGGCTCCAATCAAATCAACTTCTTTGAAGCTTAAAAGGGTTTTTTTCAATAGTTTTGTATTGGCTCTGATGTAAAAGGTTTGGTTAGCAGGTCTTTGGTGAGCAACACGATTCTGCTACCAATAGCCTCATAAAAGGCATTGAGGCGCTAACATTGATACATATTTGTAACGTAGTCTTCATCCCGTGAGTTATATGAAACGTTCCCCTCCCCCCATGACGCTTTGATCTAGGGAACTAACTTGGCCTCTGCCACTTTGTGAGCTCTGCATACTTACTATGAAGGGATTATATATGTGACATTCTTATTTAGATGGCCCCCTTGTATAGACATAGGAGCGTTACTAACGGACGACTAAAAAAAGCTGATCGCTATACACCTGCTTGAATACTTACGGAAATAACAAAGAAGGTTAAAAATTTCAAGAATTTTTTTTTTTGAGATGACCCTACCCGTCGTAGCAGCACGGAATCCCAGATGTCCACTAATGTGTAGGATGCAATTGTTCCTGGAGGGTACTGTGCATCTGCATTGGATTCCATGTAGGACTAAAACCTCAGAGATTGGTCGCTTGTGTGTACTTTTTTTATGCAACTTTTTTGTGGTAAAGTGATATACGAAAAGATCGAAGTTCTAACAAAAAAAGTTTTATTATCTTACTTCTTCTCCATCTCGAATATCTCGATATCTCTATATCGATATATCTAATATATCTCGAAGATATATCTAATATATCTCGAAAACTAGCACTTGCTTGAAGCTGAAAATCTGCGCTTATACTATTAAAGGCCTGTAGTAAACAATTACCTGCGTGAAAACAGCATTGCTTCGTTTTTGTATAAGCACAAGAATTTTGATTTTCTTGATTTCTAGCTGATTAAAAAATACGTCAGCGGCATATATGAAAGTCTGATATACAGTGTTATCTTTGTGAACAAGTGGGAGATCCATAGGATGTATTTGAACGAAGATATAAAATTTCTTCAAATCTTTGAGCATTGGGTACGACTCGGATTTCGGCTTCAAACTTGCGGCGGATCGAAGCTAGTGAGAACCTTCACATGCCATCTTGTAGAGCTTGCTTTGCTCTATCGAATGGTGCCCTTAATCCCTGTTGAAAATATGAATCGTAGGACTCATCGCAGTAGGTAGCCAGAGGGTAACAGGACTCATGTAACAACCTAATATTTGCAGCTCCAAACTTAATTGTTGCTTTTTTTTTCAAGTTGGTTGGTTGCTGAAAAGTAAAATATGGAATTTGATTAGATTGACTACATTATATCCTACACTACTCATCTTTGATAGGATTCAAAAGTATGTGAGCATTCCGTAAGATCTGAGTACAACACGCCCTTCATTTGGGAGTTTCTTTCTTAGGATATAACTTTTCTGTACTGTACTCAGCTAATTTGTTTTCACTGTATTAGTTGACAGCCCTAACGACGATATCAAAGAGCACGATTCAAAACAGACTATACGACCGATACTGTGTAACTGAACATTGTGTGTCTGACTTGGCAAGATGAGTGATTGTGCGAAAGTGGGAGTAGTTTCGGAACTAGAATGCCTCAACTGCAATGCACCTTACGTTGGAGAGGTAGGAAGATCGGCCAGGAAAGTTTTGGAGGCTTTGAGTAACTGTAATGAATTCAGAAATGAGCAGTGAGAATAAATGGTTAACCATCCGAAGTTCACATTAAGTGCTAATGGCATAGTCTATTTTTTCCGCAGCGACCATCATTCGGCCGGGAAAACCATTGACAGCGTGGTCTCTCGATAAGCTCATCTCTTCCTGACGATTTCTATGGTAGGGAATCCGAGAGAAGCTCTTTGATGATTTAGAGTCAAGTTGACGTTTTAAACGACTTTCAGTGCATTCCACTTACACTGTATGTTCCATATTACTCATTTATTCTATATTTTTCGTTCTTGGATGTACACGAATTCTTGAACTCTCCATTTTTAGAATAATTTCGACTGATCAGTATTTCTCTACGAAAATACTGGATGTTGGATGTTCATCTTTATTCTGAAGAATAATCGATGCTTGAACATTCGACTTTTTTCGCTCTTGAAATCATTCGAGATTCAGTTATTCGATATTTTTGATTTCCAAACATATCCGATGTTTCGATTATTTGACAAAAGAAACTCGAATATTCCAGAATATGCTCTCTACGCACGAGTATCTGTCCGCAGCATGATCCGAAGCCACGTTCAAATCGCATTTAAGCTACTCGTCTTTGCTTTACTGTTATCAATAAGTTAGTGGCTTGAAGGCAATGTTCTGACAGATTTCCCAGGACCTCTCTGTTATTTTAAGCCTTTTCGTCATGTAGAACCCGAATTCGATATTCAAAATGGTGAAATGACCGTTGTCAGCGTTTACTCATGGAAGCTAGGAAAAGAATGGCTATGGGAAGTGGGAAAATTTGCAAAAACTCTGTCGCCTGTAATTCTTGCGCTGATACATGCGGGTAGGGGACTATACGTCGCCGAAAAAAGTGGTCCCAAGCGGACATCTGCGACAGACTACGCAGCTCTACACATTACAGACCTTACAAACTTATACCAGATCCGCGCTGGCTGGAGTCTATCGGCGCCATATGGCTGCTTTCATACTGATCTGAAAGTTCGGGAACAGTTCCATTTCGCTCGAACTACTATTATGAAACTGTTTCCGAACTTTGGGATCGGTTCGCAGTCTATAGTCCCCTACCAGTGGCGTACCGAGGGGGGGGGGCGCCCGTTACTTATATGGGTTATAAAATTGTGCAAATGACTTGTCTGCACTTGTAAATAATTAAAATGATGGGCTTTAGCTTTATAAAAAAAATTTTTTCAGGGGCGTGGCTGAGGCCACGCCCCCTTTTTCCAGATTTTAGGGGTCGGGGACCCGCAAGAATTTTGAGAAGCACCCAAAAAAATTTTCGAAGTGCGTGGCTAACGCCACGCACCTTCATTGGAAAAAAATTTTTGTCGCGCCTCCCCCGAGCCGAAATCCTGGGTACGCCACTGTCCCCTACCTCTTGCAAATGCGTGACCAGTCATGCCAGTCCCGCACAGAATAGGAAAGGGAGTCATCCCTGAGCTCTTCGATTGGTTTAGGGGACAACTTGTCGCCGACAGACTCCACCCGCGCAGACAGCTAGTACAGGGGCGTATGTATGCGCACGGTATGCACACTACCGAGTCTTGGGAAAAATGATGGTGAAAATCTGGCGGCAAATGGCAGAAGGTTGTGCACAACTACTGAACATGCATCGAGAATCCGTTGAGTGCGTTGATTCATGAAAAGCTGCGAACTTATGAAACATCTTAATATGCAGGGTATCGCAAAAGTAAGTCCGCAGTGTTTGACCTCAATATTTTTCTTCCCACAGTCTTTTGCCGATCTAAGGTACCACGATGTAGAGCAAGTCACGACCCCTCTTTATTATGTAAGATTACGGAAGAATCTCCAGCACATAGCGCCATTTTGAAAGAACTGGATTAGCTGCTATTCATCACTGCTCAACTTCTCACAAATTTCAATTTTTTGGTGGTGTATCACAATCACAAGGGACAGCAAAAATGCAGTACTTACGCCATCTTACACAACTATGACTAAAGCATACGGTGAAGCGCAAACCTTGTGTTCGAAATAGCGACTCTAGTTGGCCTATTGTAGAAAAGAAGACCGCTGCTGGGAAGACCACTGCTTGGCGCGGCCTTTCTCAGATGGGTTCATTGGGGGTGATTCGACACTCAAATATAAGTAGTGGGGAACATAGCTTACGAATATAACACAATGTCACGTTGCATAACACACCCTCATCCGAGATTTTGTCCCCTCCTCCCCTCTTCCGAACAGAATTCCTAGAAGCGCCACTGCAGTCTGGCGTGTAGGAATGCAACAGAGACAGGATGCTGTGTGGAAGAATAGAGGTCATCTTTATGCACTGTGATGAGTGCTGCGTGGAGCCGACTATGCCATCTAGTAAATACAAATGTTTCAAACCGCCTTGTCTCCAAACGATATGACGCGCGCCCGCTTCAAAATAATTCATGCGTCCATCGACGAAGTGCACATCGTGTGTAATCCATGTCTGCGTTTCCTCATTCCCTCGATTTCTGGCTGGCGCAATGGCAGCGCTGGGAGCACCTTCAGCAACGCAGACGAGCAGTTGGGATAAAACGCTTCCTATGTCCTTTCAAAGCAGAGTGTATATGGCTTGCGTATATGCTTGTGTATTTGGAAGTTAAGAAAGGGATAGGAAACCGCGGTCACCACCTATCCGATGACATCGCTCATCTATGGTCGTAAGGCATTTTGTTAGTCAGAAAGGACTTCAAACCTTTTCACTGAATCTGCGCCTCGAGTCTTTTGAATTTCTGACTATAACGCGCTATCCAACGTGAGGTTTTGACTAGACATTACCAGAGTTACCCGTATTACTAATGTTACTCGTGCTACCGGTGTTACCTGTGCTACCAGTGCTCCATTGTTACCGCTGTCACTCGTGTTCGTGTTACTAGTGTTACGGCTTTTATTGCTATTGAACATAAAATGATCACAAATACTAGGCTGTTTCAAAAGTTCTGTCCGATTTTCAGTTGCCTTGTTTCAACGTAGCCTTTTCTTGGAGTTTTGCACCTATGGCATTGTCATAGAAATCATCTAGAAGTACTTTTCTGCTCTTTCTAGTGCTCACTAATGCTTGGCGAACCAGTGATAAAATTTCAAGCCACGAAGTAAAGTTGCCAAAATGCAGTCATGCCTAAGAAAAAGTTTCCGTGAAGAGGACTTCTGCAGTATCCGTAAAACTAAATATGTAATATTTTATAATGGGTGAGGGTGTAATGGGCTAACATAAGCACACTTTTCCTTCGACGTAGAGAATGTCTTACTTGTTTAATTTTTTTCAAAGATAGAAAACAAACTCAGCTATTCAACAAGCGACAACAATCTACATATAGCGACAGGTGATGCATTCAGTATTTCATATGTTAGAGCAAAGCAAGAGCAAGCAGGAACCATCGGCTAGTTGGCTTTCTCCGTTTGCGACAGCAAGAAAAAATCAAATATTAAAAGCTCGGCATATTTTTGCACACGGAGGAGGGCTCAGATGATGGGTTTTTTGATTTACTGCAAAAAATCCTATGCAGCAAAAATAACTCGAATTTTCTTCAACGCAAAAGAACCTCTGAAGTATAGTCTACTCAATGATGGCAGCCAAATATGTCTGTCCTTCTTATATGGAAGCACTAGTAAGTCAAATTGGACGTTTTTAAAGGAAACCTTGTAGAAGTTGAAAAAAATTCTCTTCTTTCTCGCTTGCCTTCCTTACATGGCATACAGTGCTTGTGATAGCCATTAACACGCTCTATTCAACAAAATTTAATTTGTTCAAAATTGTTGATCTTGGCAAAAGTTATAAGATTTTAGATGAAAAAATCGCAAATTGGACAGAACTTTTAAAACAACCTAGTACAGTCTCATTCTAGAACGCAATCTCATTGACTGGTGAGTAACACGAGTAATGTTAGTAACATTAGTAAAACGGGTAACACGGGTAACGCGAATAACATAAGTAACACTACTAACGGACAACACTGGTTAAGGTATGGTCAAATCTAAGGACGAATGACATTATTTCAGAGCAAGAAACATACGAACAAAGCTTAAAACATAAATTTCTATAGCCTGTCATCATTTGAACCACACGAAAGACAAGAAGAGGCACTTTAACACGATGAATGCACAGGCATCATAACCAGATTTGCAGCCCCTTCTCTCATACTTTTTAATTTTAAAGAAACTATAAGATGAAGTTGGTTGATGTCTATCTCTTTGTGAAAATTTAGTTGGTCCTCAATTGCTATCCAATTTTTCACCTTTTTGTATACTAATGTTTATCAAAGCAAAACTCGTTCTGAAACTTTGGCTTTGTAGTTAGTTGACAATGAAGTTTATGGGCGTAGGCCATTTTAAAGTATATTCAACACACTTCAACCAAGAATTTATTGACAAATCAACGTAACGCATACAATGCATCTAACACAGAAAGTGTACATGCAAAGTGAAGTTTAAATTTGGCATCTGTGTTAAGTTGAATTATCGAATGGGATGATGCTCAAGGGTACGATCTGTTCAGAATCTGAACCGACGTCCACCAAAGGATCCTCCGCGTCTACCGCCAAATCCTCCCATACGTCCGCCCATTCTTCCCGCAAATCGCCTGTGTCCGCCCATCCTTCCACCGAATCCGATTCTACGTCCACCCATCATTCCACCTCGACGAGGGCCACCAAAACCACCAAAACTGGAGCCGAATCGTTGTGCTGCAGCCTCAGCTACCAGTAGGAATAAAAGAATGTAAGCCAGGATGACTTTCATTTTAGACGTGAAAGTTTGTCAGGCTGGTAGAAGTATGAGGAGAACTGAAAGCTCAACTTTTAAGGAAAAGTTCCTTACAAAAAATTGCTACGTCAGCCACGAATGGGACACTTAAACCTTGTTACTGGGCAAATCGTGTTTCCACCGAGTGATAACAAAAGGTTTTCACCATAAGATGCTCTTGAAACTGAATGCTGTAGAGGAATGACCACATCTGCATCACCTCCTAACCGGAAAAACCCGCACTAGAAAATCTACATAGTTTATACGTCATGCTCTTGTCATTACAGTGATGTTTGCACCCTTGAGATGTGCTCATGGTAAACCAACGATTCTTGCATGAGCTTTGGATATGCGCAAATTTTACCAGTCGGTTGAGGAAAAGTGTTTCGAGTTTAGGTTTATGTTATATATCATATCATATCATAACTGTAACCAATCCGAGGTGTCATAAGCTACTTCCCGTCATCGATCGTATTGATTTTATCGATGTTTAACAAAGTTGGTGCAGGGGGGATTGAGCATGCTGATTACGAATATATTATTGCCGGGGCTGGGAGGAGCCGGGTCTGCCGGTCTAATAAGAGCGACGATGAATCGCTCCATACCGTATGTCTAAGTTGAAGCAAGCTCTACCGAATGGTGCCTAAGGTTAGCAAGAGAGAAGAAAGATATGAACGGTCAAACAGTGCATACTACCTACTTTTGGGACACCTTGTGTGTTAGCTGCTTCTTTCAAAAAGCGCACGCATCATTGAAAAGTTTTGAAACCGATCAAGAAAGCATCTTGATGATATTTAGCTAGTTCTGCTATACTTTTTCAGAAGCGAAATCTTTCAAACAGCAATTTTGTTGTCCATTAATAGAGTAAGTGATGTGGAATAATTCAAGCTTTTACCAATCAAGAAAGCTATATCAGATAGTTTTGATTTTGACGAATTTGCATGTTTCATGAATAAACGCGAAGCGAGCTCTTACATGCTTGTATGCATACTAGTCTAGGCAAGCAAGATGAGCGCCGAACGTAATTGTGAGTTTCATCCAAAACCGTCTGATATTACTGTGTTAATAATATGCGTAGACTAAATTAGATCTTTCCGTTTCTCGCACATTAGTTTTGAAAAAAAGTGGATAGAACCTTCATTGTACCAAAATAATTAAAAATGTCTAGTACACGAATCACGCAAGTGCACATTTCTGGTGCCAACTAGAGATAGCCTCTTGGTTTTCGAAAATGGCTCCCAGAGAAGTTTCCGCTACCACAGACAGCTACTAGCATATCTTTAATTTCAATCTAAAAACGTGAAATGATACTGATTTCACTATAAGTTTATTTTACCGAAGTTGAAGGTGCACCCCAAACGGCATTCCTGTTGCTTAGCCAAGAAGAATTTTTACAAAATAACTTCAAACCCTGAGCAGTGAAATTTCAGAGTAGGTATATCAGCATCATTGACATTTTGTAACAAAAACAGTATGATCCATCAGTCGGTAGCGGACGTGAAAATCATTGCTTATAAAGCAAATCAACATAGTGTATAGGATTTTTTTAGAATCGCTTGCTTTATGGCGGATCAGTTGATGCAGAATCAATACCATGTTCATCCCTTCCTTTCAGCACGTCTATCTACATGAGCAAGCTCATATGCTTTTTAAGCAACTATGTTTGGCACAATCTGGATTGTGGTTCTCTCGCTTATGAGCATTACAGACAGCAGGATCAGCGATCGGAGTTGCGCAGAAAAAGTAAAGAATGATTACAGAGTGAGTTGTAAATCAAGGATTGTAGGGGTTTTGTTAATTGCTGAGTTATTGTTACATGCATGTTTGCCATTGTTTAGTTCTCGCAAAGAGCAGTGAATTGTGAAAATCTGTTTTCCGACTCCAGCTGCCTCTTCATGTATTCGAGAGCAGTGAAGCAAGGAGAGAATATAGACAGAAATGTGCGATGCTTCCAGGTACTGTTTCGTTTTCTTCGCTTGGTAGTGATTTCACTGAATGGAACGCAACCAACGTTTTTGCACTTCCCCTAAATGTTCAGTACGAATAAAACTACTTAGAATCCTTTCACACGACAACGAGACGATAATCTAGTACGTATGGCAGTAAACAGCTGTCCAAGAACCTGCGGTTATTGCTGTTTGACACCGGAGTTCAACTGCGCAAACAAGAAAAGTCTGCAGTTTCATATCAGTGAACTTTGTACTCAATCCTCATAATTGCAGATCCTAACATCGACTGCTCTACAGTAACGGACGTAGAGTGCCGTAGTGAGCTATGGCGTCCTATTCTGATCGAAGAATGCCCTAACGTCTGTGGACTTTGTACGGCAAGTCAGTCTATTTGTTCAGATTAAGGGGTGATTACTAAGGCTGCCGAGAACAGTTTAAGGAGTAATGAATTTGCGCACAAGCATAAAATGCGCAGTCTTTTTGCAGTCGTACGAAACGACAGGCGCAAGAAATCGACCACAGTTTGTTTTTAGCGACTGTGCCGCGTTGGCTTGTACAACGCACAAACTATTTATCCGCATTTATGAATGTGTAAAGAACGTTTTTGAACTTGTTGTTTACAGAGCTCGTAATAATGAGGGCTAAACTTTTATACAACTTGGGAGTTTGGCTGATATGTTACATCAGCCTCAGCGCCATACTCTGCTGGCAACACACATAGAATGAGCTTGTAGAACTGAAATGGAGTAGTACAATGCACCTGACCAAGTCAAGCATAATTGTTTCATATTTGTGAAAGATTACAAAGAGCTTATTCTTATATAAGATGCCTTCCGGAAAAAAAATCTATATCATTAGAGGATTCTGATTCGTTGGCTAGAAAGACTTCCATATTTGCTGAGCAGCTCGTCGAAAAATAAAAGCTATCCCGCTCTTCAATTTCATGATCAAGTTTGTCAGGACGGTGAATACGCATAAATACAATTTTGCACAGTTTACAATTTTAAGGCCCGAAATACCCTTTTCTTTTAAGAAGAAGTCTGGAGCAAAGGCTAGGTAGCTTCCGAGTTACCGCTACTCCGCAACCAGCACCAAACACAGGGTCTCGGACAACCGCAAAGGACTTTCGGCGCAGACTGAAGTTTCAAAACTTTCGGAGAGGCACTCCTATTGGAGCTGCCAGGTAGGGCGGGCCCACGCCTTACCTGGCAGCTCCAATAGGAGTGCCAGGTAAAGGCGTGGGCCCACCCTACCTGGCAGCTCCAATAGTGCGGGCCCACGCCTTACCTTACCGCCCACGCCACGCGCCCAGTAGGAGCGTTCCTCCGGAAGTTCTAGAAGTTTAGTTTTGGCTAGATGTCCTTTGCGATTGTCTGAGGTTTTCAATGTGTTCAACTTCATTTTCAGAGTGCTTGGGCGCATACTTTGAGGATGATAGCATCGCTTGTGTCTTGCACCGTTTTGTGGATTAACTAGAATTGCTGAAACATATTTCCGTCTAGTCTTGTTTTTTTCAACAGATGATAAAGAAATTACGTGAGCGTAATCTTTAGCAAAGAAGATCTTGTTTCAGTCTCAGTGTGTACGTCTAACACGCTCTTTCCAATCAGTTTATTATACAAAAGGCGAATAGTATTTCCATTAGTTCCCATTATTCCACAGTTTGTTCTTACTATAAACATGGCAGAATGTTCTATGATTCTTCGAAGAAGTAAGAGAGCTATACTTATAACATGACTTGAGTCCACTCTTTAAGAAGTAGAAGTGTTAGGGTTGTCAGGCCTCAAAATTTATGAGATACTAGGTCATTTTAATACTATGTTCGTTTTTTCTTTCCAATACAAGTGTCACATTCCGCATATGAAAGTCGGAAGATCTTGTCGCATTTGCTACGAATTTTCGTGCCCTTTCGAATGGTTGGTTACGTAGGAATGCGACCAATGAGCCGCTAGAATACTACCAATTACGTTCCATGGTTTCTACCATGCTCATGTTTTACTGTTTCTCCAATCAAGCCAACCCTCGAAAAACAAGGTAAAGTATGGCTAGAGTAAGCCCTACAGAAAACAAAACTGTTTGTTTCTCCTTACTACATCTCGTCTTAATCTTTGATGGAATTTTTGTTAAAAAACTGGATCAAGCGGGCTTATCTCGAACATAAACGCCTATAGTCAGAACCGAATATTTTTCGGATATTCGTATTTGAATGATTTATTTGCACTACAAAAGTTTAATTTTAAGAAAAATGCATCTGTTTGATTAACCTGGAGCCTTCTACGAATCCAATTTACACTAAATTCACGAGTACAAAACGCGCGCTTTTTTAAGCGAGTCCCTCAACTGCTTCGCTGTGTTTCGGATTTCTATGCTACTGCATAGGATCATTTGGTCCCGAAATCCTTTGGCGTGTTTGAAGTGGCCAATTTAAGAAAACTGCGTCTTGTACTAGTGTAATTAGGGCAACCCAAAATATTCAAAATAGCGAAGGTTTTGACTATGAGCTTTTCTTCTATCCTGCTATCGAATATCGAGTAAGTCAGAATATGGAAGTCTTGGGACGCTGGTGCATTTTTGTATGGTGGTGCGAATACGTTAGGCTATCATCGTCGTGCCACAACCATTTAGAAACTGAATACACATTGATATTCAATCATGTTGTTCAGAGCGCTACCAGCAGATACGAGAGTTACTGAAGAATGGATCGGAAATAACGCTGGAGATATTGCTGAAACTCGAAAGACCGGACGTAGAAAATATGATCGAAGACTGATTGTCAAGTTGTTTTCTTTTTGTCTTTTGATTCTTTATTTGGCACGTTCTATGCATTGCACGCGGCCTGGCACATGGGGCGCAGTCAAGCTGGAATCCTTTGAAGAGAAAAGCAAAGGGCTAGTTTTATGAAATCAGCGGCTGAATAACAGTAAGAAGAGATTATATGGGCGAAATTGGACCTGCGGAAGGAAATCATACTATGATGTTAAAAATTTGGTGCATTTCCGTCACACGGACCCATTATGGACAGTTCTGTCCTTCTTATCAGGTCTATAGACCAAATTTCGCTTATATAATCAAAAGCATTTCTCGCTTTTTCAATATCTATCGAGTCGAACTTCCACTTGTTCGGTCTTACGCAAAACACTATTTTGGCACAGATAGTGAAGTTTCCATATATAAAGAAATCTTATAGAACACTGTCTAGAAGAACAAATGTTAACAGAACCAACATTTGCATGAATTTTTTTTGATAAAGAAATTCGCGAAGGCTCAACAACGGGGATCCTTTCGAGTTTACGGAACAATTAACTTGTTTACAGGTTTCTGTTCTCCTCAAGAACAACTTATTTTCAGCAAAAAAGCAAAAAATTTCCAAACGCCCTAATTTCTTCCAGGGTCCGGCATGAGTTCGTTTCTAGGCTTTGAAAACGAAATCCCCTTTGATTCTTTGCCCTAAGCGAGAAAACCCTTAAAAAATGAAACGTCGGTAAATAAACTTCACTTTTTGGCCACAGAAATGATATCCCCTTCGCTTTTTCGCTCCCAAAAACGAAGTCCAGCGTGCTTCCATACGATCAGCGCCGGGCCCTGATTTCTTCTTCGAAATCGCTGAAGTCGCTAACTTTGGTAGAATTTTTTCACTGTTATTACATTCCACATTTCAAAATAGATTCGGATTCAGGTCACCGAGACAATCTTTTGGTTTCAAACCTCGGTTGCCGCAGGTGCTTATTGGGAACTGGTAGTACTTTGTACTAGTGTTTTCGTGAATGTGTAGCCAGTGTATATTGTAGACGTTCGATGAGCTTTCGATAGAGGAGACTCTACAGTGTTCGAAAAATACCTTTTGGTTTCCTTTTTTGAAAGAAAGCATATGGCAGCCGATTTTTGAAAGTACGTGAGTCACCTGCCATTAGATCATTACTGTTCTTGAGTCTTGGCAAACTAATTAATTAGGTCCATGTAATAAGCGTCTCTTATCGCTTCTATGAGCAAATTTCACGCAATTTCAAAGATTTTGGGTTCCAAGTAACAGTGACATAGACTTCGACAAGCTTAATTGGGGCGATACGCCCAGGAGGAAGAAAATTGAAGGGATCTAAATTCTTGGGAATTCTAACTGCGGGGTCGCAGAGTAGCCCATTTCATAGGCTGTGCGCTACTCTGCTTCGCAGAGTAGCGCGAAGTCTATGAAAAGAGCTTCGGAGAGGAATCTTCAGGCGAGCGCATTTTCCCAAACTCACTAGCCATTTTCGCCTAAAGTTTGTGAGTTTCTTTGGAGTTATCAATGAAAGGCCATTTGGGGAAGTTTTATCAATTTGTTCCCCCCCCCCTCAAGAGATATACTTACGCATCATGCACGAATTCACTCTCTTGCAGACATGGACCATTACCATCGTTATTGCTTGATGTTTAGAATCCTTGGATTTGCAACTTGTCTTGATGTTATCAGCGAGTTATACCAATGTAGCGATTGGGTGAGTCAAGTATATCCAAAATTCCGTTGCCATCCTTATTCCAAAGAAGAAAATCTATAAAACAGTTTATATCGAACTTTCTGTGGAACCTATTCAGATGCCATTTATCTTAATCGCCATTTACAATCTACACTATGTACACATTCACGAACATATCATCACAGAAAGCAACGAATTCCTACCATTCATTTACCGTAAGCGAGCCGATTACAGTCGCTCATGAAAAGATTTTTTTCGGCAAGCTGAGTTCAAACTTACTCCTTGCTTTAGAATTCATCAACGCTGCGAGAAGCTAGATACAAAGGTGGAAAGTCGGCGGGTCCGGGGAATGTGAATGGGCAAAGTGGCAAAGTGCAATTCTTGTATTGTGTATGGGAGATGATAACGGATAAGTACCAAAAGTTGGCTACAAATGCCGGAACGGCTACAAAATGACAGAGTAACGCAGTCAGGTTAACCCAGTAGCACTGGCAATTCTTGTAATACTGGTAAAATTGGTGGCAACGGTAGCGAGGTTTACGTGCGGTCCCTTTGATGCGTCCCCAGCGGTGTGTTATTTTCCATTTCAAACAGCTTTGATATATTCCATTTCTATTCCATGTGTAGCAATGTAATGTGCCATTTAGTCCCAAGCCGTGCTCTAGCAAACAAATAACACCAACATTTCTTCTTGAGATGGGAAGCGCGTCTCATGTGCCAAAGATGGATTCGTATTCCGGGGGACCATTGCACCTTTGTGCCTGGTCGTGAGTGTAAACAATTAACAGCTCTCGCACCGTCGCTGTAATGGCGAAACTTCTCGAAAACTTAAGCTCAAAATTATAAAAAGCTATCTATTTGCGTTGTTTCACGTTTTTTCACCTAGATCAGTACACTACTGCAAGGGGTGTGTAGCAAAGAATAAACAATTTATGCAAGAGTGGAAGACGTATTGCTATAGCAAATTCGCAAGCTCATATCAACGCAAAATAAAGTGTATAATGACTGGATTTCAAAAATGACAATGAAATGGCTACACTTCCCTGTCGGATACCTTACAAAGTCCAACTTTCTCAAGCTAGAACAAACTCCTGCATTCTGAGAACTCCTGAGTACATTTGCCAAACAGTATACGGTAAATTCCCACTTTGAATACCTGTTTTCACGTTGATATCAAAATTATCAGTTTTGTTGTAAAAACCTTTTTGTGAACTTTAAAAAGTTATTTCTTTTTGGGGTAATATTGATTTTCCCTATATGTCCAAAAATTTGTGTTATATTCCTTTGTATTCATTTCTAAACTCTACTGTGCTTTCACGTTTGGAACATCGTCCTATGTACCATGTGTTATTATATAAAGCAAGTAATTTTGAATTATTTATTATTCTGCCTTTTGTTGTACTCGTACCTCTTGTAGGCTACTGTAAGATCTGGCTCTCATCTACTGGGCCCCATCAGAACATAGGTGACTAGAATCCAGCAGAAAATCTTCATGTATAATATGCCTTCTGATAGCTGATAAATATCTACCTTTGTACCTGTTTTAACCTAAGGCAGTCTACCGCCAAATAATCTAATAGAAAGCTATGAGTTCAGACTTAGATCTTACTATACTAGGTAGACTTGTAAACAAAATGGAAAGATCCATTGAATACAATTTCCAAAGGCCGTTAGCCGTTGTCAGTTCCTTCAGCCCTTGGATATTGTTATCTATAGCCCAGAAATATCTTGTTTTAGTTCTCCGGCAAATGACATAGTTTTTGACCAATTTTTGTATATGCAAAGAGTATTAAATTGTAGCGTTACAGTCTGCGGTTTTGATTTATTAGGATGAACGCTAAAAAAGAACACCTTGAGAACAAGTGTAGATTTCAAAAAAGAAAAATGATCGAACTTTCCAACTTTGATATTAGATAAATATATGGTTCTTCTTCAGACAACACGACCTACTAAGGTCATCAACATACTTGTACTTGCTGAGGTGTAAGGTTAGTCGCTTCGACAAATTATAAACTTCGAGCAGCATCTGCGCAGTGAAACATGTGAAACCATCCAAGGTACCACTGCTGCAATGGATGAAAGTACAGTAACCAAACACGATGGCTTGCTAGCCGCAACGGTAAAAGTCAGGAGATTCGTCATTAGCATTTTCTGAAACAAGATGCGTGTTACTTACTTTTTTGCGAGTGAACGCGTTATCTAGCTGCCATCTGATAGAGCTAGTTACGCTCTATCCATCCATATATGTTCACCTCGATTTTCATCTGTTTTCGGCCTAAGGCATACTTCCCGTGATTTCGTCAAATAGCTACATCAAAGCGACTTGGCGATTCGCCAGTGTCTGCAGATTCACCGTGCGGCTTTTCAACTGCATAGGCACGTAGCTTCCATGCGTTGTTGCAGAAGCATGAAGTGTTGCTTAAGCAAAGCAAGCTTACGACCAGTTTTGAAGAGTTGTTGCAGTGCCAGATCGCGCAGCGACTGAAATCTCGTGAGGCTTGCCTTACGCTTTCGGAAGATCTAGGTTAAAGCGTGGTTTTTTGTTTTTTGCGCCAAAAAATCGCGATTTTTCAGACATATTGTTTTTTACTCAGAAATAAAAAGGTACCCATATGTTCATTATACTTCTTGAAAGAGCATGAAGAGCTCTTTCAAATGGTATGTCAATTAGCTCATAATTTTACAGTATGGCAGCGCAAGAATGGGCGATGTTCAAAAACCATGTTCGAGTTCCTCACGGCGCCACGCGCAGGGTTGGGGGGAGCAGCGTTAACGCCGTCACCAGAATGATAGGCGAAGGTCGCTTATGTAAGCAAAATTCAAGTTGTAGCCTACTTGCCTCTTGATCGAAACAAAAAATCTCAAAATGTAATAAAAATCAAACTGTCTTATTTTTTTCCATTCACTCAATACTTTTCTTTGCCTTTGTGATTAATCCAAACTTAATTGGTGCCTTGTGCATTTTGGTACACCGCAAATTCTAAGAATTTCATGCAAGCATCTCCAAGTTTGATGTTCAGACTGCTCGTCTTCTTTGTATCCGTACAACACCCTGCTCTTCTATGTTCCTAGACACATAATCACAGCCTTTTGTTTCTGACTGTTCTCTTTTCATCATTTGTAGATATGTTCTCCACCGGTATTCGCCGGAGGGGAAATTTGGGCTTCATAGGTCCACTCAGAAAAATTTGTATAACGAAGATAGTTTCTACATATAAGTGGAGTTTGATTTATACGTATATACAGAGATGTTTTCAAAATGATGACCCTTTCAATCGGATGTCTGCGCTGCTTCGAAACCCATCGTTAGAGAATCCATTTAGAGATGTTTCTGAAAAGGAGACTAAATTCGTGCAACACTGCAAGCAGCAAAATTCAAAGTTTAAAGGTCTAAAAGGAAGTTTTTCTGACCTATCCACAAGATTATTTGGAAAAGAGTTATGTCAAGCGAACGAGGAGA